CCAAAGTTCAAAGATGTGCCGACCAACATCTCTAAAGCTCAGTAATTAAAAACCGGCCAAGTGTGCAGCTTCCTTACAGAGAAAACTAAAACCTAGCGACTGTCTCTGGCAACTCGTACCTCAGCTGTTGCCACGACACGGACGGTCGTAGAAGTTGCAAAAGGGTCGATGCACAATAGTGTTGGACAGAAGAATCAACGTACTGATGACTCTTCTCTTCTTAGAGCCTTGGCATCGTGTCAATCTGCCTCACAGATAGCTGCTCCGCATGATAGTCTGGTGTTTACAGTGTTTTGTGTGTGTTGGTGTTTTGTGTGTGTGGCGATGGGACCTGTGCACTGTTTTTTTGTTTTTTTTTTGGTGGGAGGGGGGTTGAATATAGGAAACTTTTTTTTCCCATTAGCTCTGGTTTGACTGCTCCCATTTGTTAGCATAGCATCTGCTGGAAGGCCCAAGGAGAGCGGAGCCATCTAGCAGCGTCTGGGTGATTATTCATGTGCCCGTGCTCCTCCAGGAGCTGCTGCTGCTGCTGCTCCTGCTCGGGTCTCTGCCGGCTCGCCGCTGTACCGCTTGTCAAAGTGCTGAGGGAGCCCGGCGTCACCGCTCTGATTCCAAATGAATAGAAGCGCACAGATAAATCACCCCTCCATGCAGAGTGGAGGAGCAGACAGGCTGCTTTGAATGTAATTGCAAAACGGTGAATGAAAAACCCTCCCATATGTTGCTCATAAACTCCAGCTCGAAATATATATTTCATAATCGCGTGGAAAGTGCTCTAAAATATAATTTCCATATATTACGTTTGACTAACAGGTACTCTTGGTGTAACTTCATCCCCCACAACACCCAGATTTAATTTGGACTCATTTACATCGAATCAAAGACAAAACAGGATCCTTCATCTGCTTTATGGAGAGTTTACACATGTGGGACAAGAAGGAAAGAGAACGTCTCATAATGAAATGTTCAGAATAAGCCGCGCTGCACGAGAAGTCATGAGGAGAGACCATGATGGAGGTCAACCTGTAGGATCTCATGTGTTAGTCTGGTCTGATCGTGATCCGTCCAATGAACACTTCAGATCATTTTGGGAAATAATCTTATTTCCCTTCTTGCCGAAAGTTAGATGAAAAGACTCTCATGTCTTTCTGATCTTCTCATCACACTCTTTGCAAGAACAGAAGATTGTTTTGCAGTGGATGTGGAGTTTTCTTCAGTTAAAATAAGGAAATGACAAGCTAAGAGTCCAAGGTGACGCCGTGAAATTGCATGTTCTGTCCAAATAAATGTGAAAATCAGAGCATATCGATTGCCTCCACACGGCTCTCAACATGGCGACGACTGAGCCAGTAGCTAGAAGCTAACGGTGCTAACAGATAACTGTGCTAACAGCGCTGAGAGTGCAAACTACAACAAACGACGATGCTGTCGCACGCGAGGCTCACAGAGAAAGAGTGACTTCATTCTCTGCTCATGTAGACCTTACTCCACAATGTTTATTTATATTTTAATATTGATATCCATACATTCCTCCTGATGCAAATTCAAAAAATACACGACAGGAATGCTCTATTGTTTTCGTTTTGTCGTGTTTTTCTTGTGTTGCAAACGGGCTACAACTGTATTTTGTGCATCCCTGTGTTGCCTAAATGATCCTTGAATCCTTGAGTCCTTGAGTCCTATATCTTTACATAGACAGTAGTTGTTTAATGATGTATTAATACTCTGAGTATCGTATAGAGAACCTTTAACGAGTTAAAGAGTTAAAGATACACAAATTTGAGAAGCTGGAACCAGAGAATGTTTCAGGTTTTCATTAGATTATTAAAACTATTTTTCTGAAGAAACTAAAAGACAGACAAGTAACGCAGCAGAAGAACACCCGTCGTCGTCATCATCACACACACACACACACACACACACACACTCACACACACACACACACACACACAGAAACAATTACACATCAGCATGCTGAAATGTGCACAGCAGCAGCCATTTGTAGGAAAGCAAGCAGACTCATTTACACAAACACTCTCTCAAACACACACACACACACACACACACACACACACACACACACACACACACACACACACACACACACACACACACACACACAGAAACAGGAGAGGACAATCGTTTTATCACTGAGCAGAAGTGTTCATTTATAAACTAAACCAGCCAGATATATGCCTCTCTGGTTCTTTCTCTCTCTCCCTTCGTCTCTCTCTCTCTCTCTCTTTCTTTTTATTCCTCTCCCATCTCCAGCAGAAGTGAAATTACTCTCCAGTCAGGCAGCGAGGTCAGAGTGTCTGGCCTCTGTTATTTGTCTTCTCCTCCTCTACAATGTGTGTGTGTGTGTGTGTGTGAACGTAAGAGAGAGAGAGAGTCTCTGCACACGCTCAGCAGAATTAGACTGATTCTCACTAAATTCCAACATTCATAAACGAGCCACAACTCATCCAGCTCAAAGGCGCTTTGATGGTTTTTGACTCAATTTAATTCAATGCAACTTTATTCATCTCTGCAAAAGTAACAGCATCAAAGCAGCAGCTAACTACTAACACTAAGCTAACAAACAATAACACAAACTGGTTCTGGTTGTTCTGCTAAGTGTTACACAAACCCTCAAAAACGCCCCAAAGAATCAGCTAAATGATAAAAGTAGTGTCAAAATGCCGTCGCAGTAGTTCCACCTGTTTTTAAATTCTACGTCACGATTAAAGGGAAAAACAACTCGTAATCTGGATTTAAATCTCAAACCTCAAACTGAGGTTGTGAGATGTCTCCTGGCTGTGAATTAGAATATTTTCTACTAGTTTTTACCCTCCCCTCTCATTCTCTCCCTCCCTCCTCCCGTCTCTCCCGTCTCTCCCTCTCCTCCCTTCTGAGCTCTTAACACATCGCTATCCGTCAATTAATCGCTGGCAATCAATAAACTGTCCTGTGTGTGTGGTGTGTGAGAGCTCTCAAATGCACACAACACGTGTCCCTTCATGCATTTATGTAACAGTATATATACGTATTTACGTCATCGTGTATTTGTGCTTACAGCTTTTTGTTCTTACACAAGTGTGTCTGTTTGTGTGTGTGTCCGTCTCTGGAAAACAATTGACCTTCCATTCAAATGCACTCCTCCTGACTCTACAGAACCATATTCATCACTATTAGAAATCCATAACAGCCTCTCTCTCTCTCTCTCTCTCTCTCTCTCTCTCTCTCTCTCTCTCTC